ATATATATATACATAGTTTGATTGGAACTTAGGTCTCCCATGATTATTGCAGTACAATAAGCCACATATTTAGCTTTTTAAATGTAATCATTCAGTTGCAAAAGAGGTGTTAAGCATTAAATGAGAAATATTGTGAACTCACTTTGCAAATTCCAAAGCACTGTATATAACAATATTTTGTCTGACAATATTTAATAGGTTATTAGGGAAACTGGTTCAATCCAGGCTTCCATCCTACATTTGTAGATTATACTCCCCACTATTCATTATTTTTCCACATGGCATCAATTCTGTTTCCAGTATTAAAGAAACTGGGAAACAAATGTCTTCACTAAACAAACCTTAAATTGGGGCCTCAAAGTCCTCATGCTTTCTTTAGTCAGAGGACAATGAATGGAACTCTAACAAAATGATGCTCAGGAATAAATGTCATTTAGTCTAAGGGCTCCTTTGTGGGAAATGATTCAGTCTCATAATGATGACAAAACAAATCATAGAAATAGTTTCTTCTTAGTAGTACAAAACAGAAGGTGAAAAGTTGTGACTGGTGAGTCACTTGGACATAGCTCAGGAATTTTATTTCTTATTCTTTTTTTTCCTCCCATTGTTAGGAAATAAGGCATGATTTTAAAATTGTCTTTTCTTGTGGACTAAAATTATTGAATAAACGTAAGCCATACTATAGGACAGAAACTTCCCAAAGATATTTAGTCTTATTATTAACATTTCTGAAATACCTTATTCATGTCATATAATTCATTTTCACACATCTTCTTAGGAAGGGTAAATTCTTTTTCCCCCTCTCCCTATTTGTTGTATTGCTCTAGATTAATAAACTAGGCTGCTTATTTGTTGGCAAATTAGAACAGTAAGTAATGAACCAATGAGCCCAAGTGGAAGGCTTGTCTGTTGGGTTGTGATATTGTAGTTACCTGTGAACATGTTGTTTGGAAGCTTCAGAATACTTGTTACACAAATGTAGATATATTCTGCTGAGTTGTGCGCCTGGAGTTTTTTCCTGGTGCAGTGTCGATGAATTTGGGAAATATTTTACAGTATGCAATTTTTCTTGGACTTTCAAAAGCACACTCACATGTTAGTGATTCTCAGAAATCCAACTGCAGTCAGCCTGCTTAACTTTGTAACAATTTTCTAGGACTCTTCATGTTTTCCATGGAACACAGCTCTCACCAGTGCACTGCTGCTGCTATGAGTTTAGTTAATTGACCCTTTCTCATAAAATGCCAGTTTGATAGTTAGATTTGGAGACAATTGCCAATTGAGGTCTCATAGGGATAATATTATAAAAAAAAATATTAAGTAGGTTTATGGTCCAATCATCTGGAAAAGTGAGGATCCTGGATGATGAGTAAGCATCTTGTATAAGTAAGCTTTTCATAAAGCTGTATTTATTCAATTGAAAGGGCTGACATTTGTTCTGAATCCTTCCATTTTTTAAAAAGATGTAATCTTGGAGATAGCTTTTGCTTTACTCATTTGATCTTTATCATGAGACTCTGTAGTCTCCATCATGGCAGGAACAATCCAATTTGCTCACAATTGTAAACCCAACACTGTAGTTCGGAGGCGGGATCTAAAAGTCATTAACTAAATAGTAATTATTTCATTTGTGTCTTACTTTGAAAAATACATAGTTGACATAGTATCATAATTATTTCTAAAATGCAAATCCAGTAATCATTGGACTAAAAGAAAATCAGATTTTGCTAAAAGTATATATATGACCATGGACATGGCTTCCCTTCTGTGGTGCCCAGAGATAACATTTCCAGCCCCTCTTGTATTCCAGTTGGGCCATGTGACTAATTTTAACCCACAGAGTGAAAATGGAAGTGATATATTTATGTCACGTCTTAATCCAATCTTTCTTCATTAGCAGGAATGAATACAGAGTATCCTTAATTTCTGAGAATGATGGGACCACAGATGTCTGGGTCCTTGACTCACCGCAAAAAAGAAAGGCAATCACAAATCACCAAATGAATCACACATATTGATCTATTTATCAAATACAAAATGAACTTTTTGCAATTCAACCACTGTTATATTTAAATTTGTTTCAGAAAGTGGTGTTACCCAACATCTCTATCCACCTCTATATATAGATATACACAAAACTATACCTTCATAGACATATACTAGAAGCACTTGCACCAGAAAGTCAATAGTGGTATCTTCCAGGTAACAGGATTGCTAGATTTTATTACTTTTCAAAATCACCATATTTTCTAAATTTTAAGTGAACAGAGATTACTATACATTACTACCATACATTAAGATTATAATCAAGAGGAAAACAAAATAAACGCTATATATGTATATATACACACACACACACAAACACACACACACATATATTTAATGATTCACAGCTTTAAGCCCTCTTTCTTTTGTTTTTGTGAATTCTTCAAGCCCTTTGTTTCACACCTCAAAACTGGTAACACATGTATCTTAGTCACAACATGGAAACTGCCAGTCATCCCTCCCTATTCCCAAGGGCATCTAGGGAGTAATCACCCCCAAATAGATGGGTAATGTTTTTGAAAAAAGACTCACCTGGATCACATTACTGTAGCAGGATCCTTCATTATGTGGTCTGCATGTGCAACTTTTAAATTTTGAAATAATTTCAAATTTTAAAAAAATTGCAAGAATGGTACAATGAACTCCTATAGCCTTCTTCCAAAATTCCCAATTATCATTTTACTATATTTAAATAAAGTATCATTCTCTGTGTAGATAAAATATAGATAAATGTATGATAGATTTTTCCCCCTACTTGAACCACTTGAGGGCAAAATGAGGACAACTAGCAATATACATCCGAATTCTTGAAAATATGCATGATTATTTCTGTAATTATGATTATAGTGACTTAGTTGCAAGGAAATACTTGGAGATACCAGAACATTTTTATTATAAGAATGTTAGCAATACTTATCATTTTGAAAAACTAGAAAAGGTCTTCATGTCCAATAAGAATTTGGTTGAGTAAATTGTCCAGTGAAATTACACACTGCTTTCAAACGTTCATTAGGATAAATGTCAAATCTCTTAACATGTCCGCCTTTGTTGACTGAGTCACTCTTGTAGCTACTAGGATTCCTTTGAAATTGCTTCAATCACCTTTATAAAAGTGATCACCCAAGGCATCCTCAACCTTGATGGATGCTGACTTTAAAAATGTCTCCCTCGCCTTTCTGCATCTCAGGATCAAACCAGGTACCAGGATACGTGGAGAGTCCATTCTCCTCAGGATTCAGGCACTCCTGACCGATACTCTTAGGAAGCAGGTGATCTGACTGAATCCAAGACAGCAACACAAAGTCTCTATAAGAAGCCTGAGATGGTCAGGAAGGTCTGCTCAGTGTAAGAGCCAACAGCTTAGCATATAATGGAAGCTCCACAGAATTCCAACAAATGACCTATCCTCATTTCAAATAAAGAGTCAGTTGCTCAAAACCATAGATATTCATGAGTATCCCCAGGAAAAAAAGAAAGCCAACTTTCTTCTTGGTTACATCAGTGGAAAACAGGCTTTGGCTGGCTCCACAAATGCAAACTTCCAAAGCTCTTTTCCCTTTTATTGTTGGAATATTCACCCTCTGTACCAAGAACAATGAAAACAAACACAATATTATTTAATTCCCAATGAAAATTCTTTGACTTTGGTACCACAAATTCAGAAATTCTAAAATAAACATAAAATTTCAAATACAGGACATCTGGGATGGTCATATTTCTCATACAACTATTTGGATGGAAAACCCAAATGATACAGTTTTATACAATAAAAAAGTAAAGGTAACTACAAAATATATCTCATAAACATATTTCAAGCATTTTATCAAATGCACAAAGTTTAAGAATCAAGAAGAAAACACTCCAAAACATATTTATTGAAAATACAATACCATTTATGTTGACATTTTATGTGGGTCAGAAAGGGATTAAGAGTAGGGTGGAAAAATGCAATATTCTCCATTGAATTAACTGACAACATCAGATGGAGTCACCTGCTTCTCTCTAGGAGTGCATGAGGTACTATACAAAAATTGAATTTCTTTTAATTCATTAATAGGACCCAAACATATTTAGCTTAAGAAATAAGAATGGGACATAAAACCAGATATGGCTGAACCAAGAAAATGACAAGATTTTCAACTGGTGGCAACTAAAAGTTAGTTTATCAACTGCAATAAAAATAAATCTGCAAGGGCAACCATGACTCACACTGAGCCAGTGTTCAGCACGGGTGAGGTGCCCAGGGCCTGGTGAGGAGCTGCACAGTCCTCACGCCTCCTGGTGGAGCTCTACCTTGATCTGGGACTTCATGAAGGACCCCTCATGGCTCATGGGGATTGCAGTCATTTCTCTGCCTCAGTCATCTACTACCATTTTTATAGTTCTTATAACATCCTTCTTTAGAAGTGACAGAGCTTAAGGAAACCCTTAACTGGCCACTTCTGAGCAAAGAAGAGGTGAAAGTACTTTGAGATGGTGTGGGATGGTTTGGAGTTACCAGCAGATAAGTGGAGAGACCAGAGCAGGCATCATCAAAAAGCTTCTTTTTATACTGTTATGATGAGAGCATTAAAAAAAAAAAAAGAAACATGAATGTCAAGTGAAACAATGAACATTTAAATAAAATGGAGGTGGAAGGAATTCAAAAATTTTTCTTTTCTTTCCATATGACTGTCCAATCTTTTTAAATGGTCATGCTCAGTAAGGCCAGTTTTATTTTATTGGCCATCTGTATAGAACATTAGACACTTCTGAGGAAAAGCAGAGCCTCCATTGACATCTTCAGGTAGACTGGGAAGAACATGGGAGGGGATGAAGGGCGTATATGAAACCAAAGTCTCCATAGTTTTCATGCCCAGGTAAGTGGACACAGTCTTTAACCTTATGTTAAATGACAGGTTCAAATCACAGAATGTTTTCTGGTCACTGGGTCATCAAGTACATCGGCATCATAATCATAAGCACTCGGTGCCCAGCATGCTGCCAAGTAACGTAAAACATATGAGCAACTTCAGAGAGAAATTTCTGTGCAGAAAAGAGGTGGAAGACCTTTCACACACCAGAGGTTCTGCTTTGTATGGTCTGACTATATCCGGAGGTAAGGCGGTCATTCCTTGAATCTGGAAAGCAAAGAGCAGACAATGCAGAAGACATGTGATTTAAGAGCAGGACTAGGCCACACTTGCTGGCCACCTACATTTCTGCAGGGGATGAGGGGCAGGTGATGGTGGCAGAATCAAACACCAGGGAGTCAGAAACCCCAGGGCTTAGGAGGGAGATTGAACAGAGGGCCAGATGCTCCTCTGAAAGAACTACAGGGCAGGCTCCAGCGCTTTCTGAAACTCTCACCTAGCCTATTCCCACTTCAAAACAACTTCAATTTTAGAATGAATTTCCCTCTTCAAGGGGAGCTTTCATTTTCAGTCAACCCAACTAATCATAGAATAAAAATATTATCAGACACCTCAAAGGACAAGTGGATTTATAAATGTGGTATCTGATCCTGAGATTCTCCTGTTGTGGATCCAGGCAAAACATGCCACCTGGGCTCTCAGAAGTTAGATGAGTTTGGGCTCACCGACCACTCCGCGTTGTCTGTCTTAGAACATCTCACGTTCACTGGCAGGCCAAGGACAAGCTTGTTGAAGGAGAGGCCTTCCTTCTTAGTCCATTTAAACTTATTCATGGCATCCATGAAAGAAAGGTTTTTATACTGCTTGGGGCTTTTGATAATGAAAGGCCATGTCCTGAAATTACATCAAATAACCACAATTACATTCAGAACAAAAGCATTGCATATTTCTTTCACTTTTCAACATTCTAACATAGATGTCATTTTTGCTCATTTTTACACACATGGATATCTCAATGTCAAATATTTATAAACTCATTAGTGGTTATTAGAAGAAATATATACCAAGTGAGGAGTCTTTTTAAAGAACTATATTTCTTCTTTGAGGAGCAGATAGGTATTGCATTTATCTATCTATCTATCTATCTATCTATCTATCTATCTATCTATCTAATCTATCTTGGGATTGAACCCAGTGTGCTTAATTGCTGAAACATGTCCCCAGCCATTTTTATTTTGAGACAGGACCTAAAAATAAAGATCTTGCTAGAGCCTCACTAAGTTTCTAGGCCTGGCTTTCAACTAGCAATCCTCCTGCCTCAGTCTCCCAACCACCAGGATTAAAGGCATGAGCCACCATGTTACAGGTATTACTTTTGGAAAAAATAACATGGCCTAAGAAAACTTCCCCACAGTCTCACAATTCTAGATAACAATATAACCCATAAGTATTCATTTCTGAAGAGTGTGACACTCATAATGCAACAAAGGAACATGGAGATTCTCGAAAGATACTGTTTACAGATGTAAAATTCAAATCCACACAGTGGAGAAGCCTGATCCCTGCTGATTGTCCTGTTTCTGCTCACCTAAGATTTGAATTTTAACCAATGGTTTAAAAATATTAGTGAGACTGCAGAATGAAATTGACCCAATTATTCTATGTATGTATATGAATATACTTCAGTGAATTCCACCTTTATACACTTATAAAAGCACCAATTTAAAAAACAATAAATAAATAGAAGGAAGAATAGTTGAAGAAGGGGAACTGGGACAGGGAGGAAGAGGGGGAAAGAGAAAGTACTGAGAACTGAAATAGAGCAAATCATAATATACGCATTTTAGATTATGTCAAAATGAACCCCACTGTTGTATAACTATAATGCACCAATAAAAACATTTTAAAAGTTTACTGAGAATGGATATTCAATAATCAATATACTTGGCTTTCACTTGTTGCTTTAAAAAATGCTAAATTTTGTCCAAGAAAGAAAGAAGATATCACAGAAATATGACCTAAAAAGCTAGAAAAGATACTTTTCAGGTGCAATCTTTCATTAAATATTTTATGCTATTGATTTCTGGAGAGAGGACAAGTGTAATTGTTAGCACATCAAAAAATGTTCATTAATCCATGGATACTACAGAAGATTATTATGGGTGACCAGTAGGTATTTGACTACATAATATCACAAGAAGATGGTCCAGTGATTTCCAGTAATTACCAAATAATTAGCCATCCACTGAGCAAGCCACATTTTAAATATTTGATTGTCTCAATCTCTTCATTTCTGTCATCACTTCACTTTCTCTTACATGCATAGCTGAGTAGGTGCACTAAATTATCTTATTAAGTAAATTAGACAATATTTATTAATATCTTGAAATTATGAAAGTAAATTTTAATGTAAAATTTGAAAATTATTTCTCCTATTCTGTAACAAATGGGAACATAAAAATGGTAACATATAAAGATATTTATATTCTTCAGTTCCTAATCTCCTTTTTTCTTTAATTAAGAGTTTGTTGAATTTTAAATGCATTATTTCACCTAGAGATCTTAAAGTACCATAAATTAAAAGCAATAACACTACCTTAAACTTCTAGCAGTGACCCCAATCTAGAGCATTTCCTAATTGTGGTGACATATAATCTGAAGTTAATGTAAAAACAAAAACTTGAAAGAAACTTATTAACTTTCAGACAATGTTGCTTTAAATCCACTAAAACTACAGATAGGTTTTATTAAATATAACATAGTTTAAAATCAAATATTAGAACAAAATTTATTTCTCACAAAGACAAGTTACTGGGCACAGAGACACACACCTATAATCCCAGCTTCTTGGGAGGCTGAGGGAAGAGGATTTTGAATTTGAGGTCAGCCTAGGGAATTTAATGAGACCCTGTCTCAAAATAAAATATTTGTTAAAGGAGCCTGGGGAAGTACTTCAGTAGTAGAGTGTCTCTGGGAAAAATACCATGTACTGCCAATAAATGAAAATTAATTTTTAAAAGGTGCTTATTTTGAGAACAGAACAGCAACTTTTATACCCAGAGAAATGCTGGAGGAGATGGGGGGAAATTATCAGTCTGCAACCACATAAAACACCACAAGAGGGCACTCGCACTTGAATTTTCACTATGGTTGCTTAAGTGGGATAAATCTGAATTTTTTGCAGCCTTGCTGGTTAGAGTAATCACTGTAACCATTATGTATAGATAAAATCTAAAAACTCTGCTGCTGTAATAAATCATTAAACTATTATTTATTGATATTGCATAGCATAATGTAACAGAAGAGATGTAATCACATTTGTTAACTTATAGTACAGGCAGGACAGGGCAAACTCAATGGCTCATACATGAAGACAATGCCCTAGGCTGGAGGACCTGGAATGTGGCCACTGACCTATCTGAGATGACATCTCTGACTCATATTTTTATCCTTTGATTTCTACTAACTCAATTGCAGTCCATTCTATGATAACATTGTATCAACAGACTCTTTTCCTCTCTAACCTACCCAGCTGCTCTAACACCACATTTTCAGACTGACATCTGGAAATTAGAGAAGGCGAAGACAGAAAGATGAGGAATCTGCAAAAAGTAAATATCCTAAATATTTTTTTCAAAAAGACTAAGCTTTAAACCTAAAGGAGGTAGCCTTAAAGTAACAAGTGTTGCTGCTATTACTGGGACTAAGGGTTAGCTAGAAATATTAAGAATGCTACAGAAATGAAAACAGCTACATTATTGCACATCTGAGCATTGTGTAAGTGTCCACTCAGATATACAAGCAAAGAAAAGAATACTATTTATATATTACTGTAGTTGATAGAAACAAATTGTGTTAATATTGCAACTTAATATTCATGGGTAATTTTCCTTTATAAATCTGATCTAAATTCTGAGATGTTTTTCTTGAAACATAGAAAAATTGCAATACACCATAGTGCAAAGTAAGTTTTCATTTTCCAGCAGAAATCCATTTATATCTGCAAATTTATACCAATTAATGAAAAAATTAAAGTTTAATGATTTTTATACTTGGCCTCCTATTCTGAATAAATTGGAAAGCAGAGAGAGAAAGGTTATTTTGTAGCTACATTTCATATCTGAGGCTCCCTGGAAATCCCACCCTTGTTTTAAAAGTGTTACTGCTGTAGTTTTTCTGGAGAATGACGGGGGAAGAGAAATGTGGATGGAAGATCCTACCAAGGAGCAATGCCCATGTATAATACAGCTGAATGAATAACATCCCAGACTCTCCCTTCATCAAGCAAGTAAACATATGACAAAAAACTAGTAAACAAACAAAAATTCATTAACAGACTTCCACTTCTGGCCATGCTGGAGTAAACGGTACCAATTTACCATTTAAAAAAAAAAAAAATCACCACCACCCCCAACCAAAAACAAAAAAAAAAAAAAAAAACCCTCAAAACTGGAAAAACTACATGGAATAGATGACTTTAGACATTGGAAAACAAACAGCAGAAAACTATGGTTCCCAAAAAGGATGGGAAAAAAATGAAAGGATTAAACATTATGTTCATCCCAGCTTTCTGCCTAAAAGCACTTTCTGAGCCAAGATGCAGAATGGGGCATTTTCAAAGGGGAAAGAAAAAGACAATTTCAATAAATTAAGGAGATAAAAATCAGAGTCCAAGGAGTCTGAATCACTTGAATATTAAAATTAAAGTACTACAGAGGAAAAAGTCTCCTTAGATAAGTCTCTAAAAATCTGTGCAAGGATCCCCTAAATATATGTGACTGAATAATGAGTCAACTATATTTAGGATAAAATTTCACAAGGCTGAGAAAGAAAAACCAAGAGATCATAAGTCAAACATTTCCCAGAGTTCACAGGGAGCTGGAAGACATTCAAGCTCCAGAAAAGAGTATCTTTGCTGACTACACTGGCATTCAGGAGAGACCTGAGAATAGGTCATGCCACAGCAGTTAAGCTAAACAAGCCCTAAACATCTAATTCTAGGTTCACAATGACAAGGTTCTCTGGAGGAAGAAGAACAATCTAGCACAAATCAACATAGAATTAACAATATCCAGTGTCTATATTTAGTCAAAAATTACAAACTATATGAATAAATACATAATGTGGAGAAAAATCAGTGAATCCTCTAAGACTTAGGAATGACTGAGAGTTCAGAATTAAGAAATAAGTATATCAAAAACAAACGAGAAATATTGTTATCAAAACGTGTAAATTTTCTACACTGAGAACTATAAGACAGTAAGAAAAATAAAAGGGCAATAAATAAGCAAAGAAACATACCATGTTCATAGAGAAGAAGACTCAAAGTTGGTAAAGTGTCAGTTTTCTCAAAGTGATCTAGAAATTCAATATAATCCCATTCAAATATTGAGAGACTTTTAAAAAGAAATGGGTAAGCTGATTTAAATATATATGTGAAAATGAAATGAACCAAGACTATCAAAATAATTTTGGAAAAAGGAAAAAAGATGAAAAAGTTCAGAGACTTACATTCTCTTACTGAAGACTTCCTATAAAACTACAATAATCAAGTCTAGTATTAAAGTAAGGCTCCACATGCACATCCATGAAATATAATAAAGTTGAAAAAGAGTAGCCAGGCATAATGTGGCACATGCCTGTAATCCCAGAGACTTAGGAAGCTGATAAAGCAGGATCACAAGTTCAAAGCCAGCCTGAGTAACTTGGTGAGGCCCTAAACAACCTATTGAGTCCCTGTCTCAAAATACAAAATAAAAAGGGATGGGGAGGTGGCTCAATGGTTAAGCACTGCTGATGTCAAAAAAAGAAAAGAATCAACATATGATCAAATGTTTTTTCAACAAATATTCCAAAGCAATACAATAGTTAAAAAAGTATATCAAATGGCTCTT